TTTCTAGGATGATGCAATGTCCAGCCATCAACACATTTGTGAAGGAATTTTTACTCGGCAAAAGAGCGCCCCCCCATGGCAGGAGAAAAAAGTCAATTTTTTCTTGTCCACTAAGGTGAAAATACACATTGTTGAGTGCTACGCCTGTATGTTTTGTCGTATTGACACAAAATTTTACATACACGTGTATTTTAATAAGATCTTCGAAAAAGTCAATGGCCATGTATCTGTAAAATGTACGGTTAAAGGGTTATTTCGCATTTTTTGCAGATTCGCACACATTGGAATTTCGCTGATTCCTCCGAAGGCTTTCGTTCCACCGGCACCACATTTGCTCAGGCCAATCTACACCCCATGGCCATTAAAAGTTATTCAAATCATGACGCTGCACCCCACGGTTTAGGTTCTAGGGGGCGCCAAATATAACCCTAAAATCCACATATTTAAAAGTCTTATAACTTTTTATTTTTGTCCTCACTGGCCTCCATGTTTTCTAGGATGATGCAATGTCCAGCCATCAACACATTTGTGAAGGAGTTTTTTCTCTTTAAAAGAGCGCCCCCCCATGGCAGGAGAATAAAGTCAAGTTTTTCCTGTTCATCATTCAATGGCTCAAACGCACTGCTCTCTCGGCAAAAGCGAAAGGAGGAGCAACTTGCCATTTGGATATATCTTAGCTGTGTTTGTGCCCTCACTCATGGTCCAGACTTTTTTCAAATAGGACATGGAGTTTTTCTGCAGCGAGCGTTTTGGTAGAAACTGCGCCTCCCGTTCATTATAATGGTAAATGACCACAAACAATTGCGCACACCATCTTTGGACCTTGAGTGTGACGCGATCGGGTGGGGGAGGCGGTCGCGCTGGGGGCGGCGTGACACGGCTCGGGCCCGCCAGTGCCCCAACGGGGCCCTAGTTAGGGCCCGAGCGTAGCTGCTAAGCAGCTGCGAGAGCCCTCTTGTTCCTGTAGTTTCCTTCTTTAGGGCCCGAGCGTAGCTGCTAAGCAGCTGCGAGAGCCCTCTTGTTCCTGTAGTTTCCTTCTTTTGTTATTATTATTAGGGCCCGAGCGTAGCTGCTAAGCAGCTGCGAGAGCCCTCTTGTTCCTGTAGTTTCCTTCTTTTGTTATTATTATTATTAGGGCCCGAGCCAGCTGCAGAGCAGCCGGGCGTAGGCCCTGTTATTCCTGTAGGGGTTTTTTAGGGCCCGAGCGTAGCTGCTAAGCAGCTGCGAGAGCCCTCTTGTTCCTGTAGTTTCCTTCTTTTGTTATTATTATTATTATTATTTTTCCTCCCCTTTGAACTGGAAAATGGCCCACTTCCCACTGGCGAAAACTCATGAAATTTGGCAGGACGACCGGGCCTGGTGAAAAATTTGATATTCCGAAGTCGCCCAAACAAGAAAATGCAAAATGGCTCCATAGCGCCCCCTAAGGTGAAAATTCACACTATTCACTGTCACGCCGGTACGCTTTGTCAAAATGACACAAAAATTGACACACACATGTATCTCAATAAGATCTACAAAAAAGTCAGTGCAGGCGTATCTGTCAAATGTACGGTTAAAGGGTTATTGTGCATTTTTTGCCGATCCGCACACATTGGAATTTCGCTAACTCCTCCGAAGGCTTTCGTTCCACCGGCACCACATTTGCTCAGGCCAATCTACACCCCATGGCCATTAAAAGTTATTCAAATCATGACGCTGCACCCCACGGTTTAGGTTCTAGGGGGCGCCAAAGATAACCCTAAAATCCACATATTTCAAAGTCTTATAACTTTTTATTTTTGCCCTCACTGGCCTCCAAGTTTTCTAGGATGATGCAATGTCCAGCCATCAACACATTTGTGAAGGAATTTTTACTCCCCAAAAGAGCGCCCCCCCATGGCAGGAGAAAAAAGTCCATTTTTTCTTGTCCCATAAGGTGAAAATTCACACTATTGACTGTCACGCCTGTACGCTTTGGCAAAATGACACAAAAATTGACACACACATGTATCTCAATAAGATCTACGAAAAAGTCAATGCGCGCGTATCTGTCAAATGTACGGTTAAAGGGTTATTCCGCATTTTTTGCCGATCCGCACACATTGGAATTTCGCTAACTCCTCCGAAGGCTTTCGTTCCACCGGCACCACATTTGCTCAGGCCAATCTACACCCCATGGCCATTAAAAGTTATTCAAATCATGACGCTGCACCCCACGGTTTAGGTTCTAGGGGGAGCCAAAGATAACCGTAAAATCCACATATTTAAAAGTCTTATAACTTTTTATTTTTGTCCCCACTGGCCTCCAAGTTTTCTAGGATGATGCAATGTCCAGCCATCAACACATTTGTGAAGGAATTTTTACTCGCCAAAAGAGCGCCCCCCCATGGCAGGAGAAAAAAGTCCATTTTTTCTTGTCCACTAAGGTGAAAATACACATTGTTGAGTGCTACGCCTGTATGTTTTGTCGTATTGACACAAAATTTTACATACACGTGTATTTACATAAGATCTTCGAAAAAGTCAATGGCCACGTATCTGTAAAATGTACGGTTAAAGGGTTATTTCGCATTTTTTGCAGATTCGCACACATTGGAATTTCGCTAATTCCTCCGAAGGCTTTCGTTCCACCGGCACCACATTTGCTCAGGCCAATCTACACCCCATGGCCATTAAAAGTTATTCAAATCATGACGCTGCACCCCACGGTTTAGGTTCTAGGGGGCGCCAAATATAACCCTAAAATCCACATATTTAAAAGTCTTATAACTTTTTATTTTTGTCCTCACTGGCCTCCATGTTTTCTAGGATGATGCAATGTCCAGCCATCAACACATTTGTGAAGGAGTTTTTTCTCTTTAAAAGAGTGCCCCCCCATGGCAGGAGAATAAAGTCAAGTTTTTCCTGTTCATCATTCAATGGCTCAAACGCACTGCTCTCTCGGCAAAAGCGAAAGGAGGAGCAACTTGCCATTTGGATATATCTTAGCTGTGTTTGTGCCCTCACTCATGGTCCAGACTTTTTTCAAATAGGACATGGAGTTTTTCTGCAGCGAGCGTTTTGGTAGAAACTGCGCCTCCCGTTCATTATAATGGTAAATGACCACAAACAAGTGCGCACACCATCTTTGGACCTTGAGTGTGACGCGATCGGGTGGGGGAGGCGGTCGCGCTGGGGGCGGCGTGACACGGCTCGGGCCCGCCAGTGCCCCAACGGGGCCCTAGTTATTATTTTTCCTCCCCTTTGAACTGGAAAATGGCCCACTTCCCACTGGCGAAAACTCATGAAATTTGGCAGGACGACCGGGCCTGGTGAAAAATTTGATATTCCGAAGTCGCCCAAACCAGAAAATGCAAAATGGCTCCATAGCGCCCCCTAAGGTGAAAATTCACACTATTCACTGTCACGCCTGTACGCTTTGTCAAAATGACACAAAAATTGACACACACATGTATCTCAATAAGATCTACAAAAAAGTCAGTGCGGGCGTATCTGTCAAATGTACGGTTAAAGGGTTATTTCGCATTTTTTGCCGATCCGCACACATTGGAATTTCGCTAACTCCTCCGAAGGCTTTCGTTCCACCGGCACCACATTTGCTCAGGCCAATCTACACCCCATGGCCATTAAAAGTTATTCAAATCATGACGCTGCACCCCACGGTTTAGGTTCTAGGGGGCGCCAAAGATAACCCTAAGATCCACATATTTAAAAGTCTTATAACTTTTTATTTTTGCCCTCACTGGCCTCCAAGTTTTCTAGGATGATGCAATGTCCAGCCATCAACACATTTGTGAAGGAATTTTTACTCCCCAAAAGAGCGCCCCCCCATGGCAGGAGAAAAAAGTCCATTTTTTCTTGTCCCCTAAGGTGAAAATACACATTGTTGAGTGTAACACCTGTACGCTTTGGCAAAATGACACAAAAATTGACACACACATGTATCTCAATAAGATCTACGAAAAAGTCAATGCGCGCGTATCTGTCAAATGTACGGTTAAAGGGTTATTCCGCATTTTTTGCCGATCCGCACACATTGGAATTTCGCTAACTCCTCCGAAGGCTTTCGTTCCACCGGCACCACATTTGCTCAGGCCAGTCTACACCCCATGGCCATTAAAAGTTATTCAAATCATGACGCTGCACCCCACGGTTTAGGTTCTAGGGGGAGCCAAAGATAACCGTAAAATCCACATATTTAAAAGTCTTATAACTTTTTATTTTTGTCCCCACTGGCCTCCAAGTTTTCTAGGATGATGCAATGTCCAGCCATCAACACATTTGTGAAGGAATTTTTACTCCCCAAAAGAGCGCCCCCCCATGGCAGGAGAAAAAAGTCCATTTTTTCTTGTCCACTAAGGTGAAAATACACATTGTTGAGTGCTACGCCTGTATGTTTTGTCGTATTGACACAAAATTTTACATACACGTGTATTTCAATAAGATCTTCGAAAAAGTCAATGGCCACGTATCTGTAAAATGTACGGTTAAAGGGTTATTTCGCATTTTTTGCAGATTCGCACACATTGGAATTTCGCTAATTCCTCCGAAGGCTTTCGTTCCACCGGCACCACATTTGCTCAGGCCAATCTACACCCCATGGCCATTAAAAGTTATTCAAATCATGACGCTGCACCCCACGGTTTAGGTTCTAGGGGGCGCCAAATATAACCCTAAAATCCACATATTTAAAAGTCTTATAACTTTTTATTTTTGTCCTCACTGGCCTCCATGTTTTCTAGGATGATGCAATGTCCAGCCATCAACACATTTGTGAAGGAGTTTTTTCTCTTTAAAAGAGCGCCCCCCCATGGCAGGAGAATAAAGTCAAGTTTTTCCTGTTCATCATTCAATGGCTCAAACGCACTGCTCTCTCGGCAAAAGCGAAAGGAGGAGCAACTTGCCATTTGGATATATCTTAGCTGTGTTTGTGCCCTCACTCATGGTCCAGACTTTTTTCAAATAGGACATGGAGTTTTTCTGCAGCGAGCGTTTTGGTAGAAACTGCGCGTCCCGTTCATTATAATGGTAAATGACCACAAACAAGTGCGCACACCATCTTTGGACCTTGAGTGTGACGCGATCTGGTGGGGGAGGCGGTCGCGCTGGGGGCGGCGTGACACGGCTCGGGCCCGCCAGTGCCCCAACGGGGCCCTAGTCTTTGTTTCTTTCTTTCTTCTTTTTCCTCCCCTTTGAACTGGAAAATGGCCCACTTCCCACTGGCGAAAACTCATGAAATTTGGCAGGACGACCGGGCCTGGTGAAAAATTCGATATTCTGAAGTCGCCCAAACAATAAAATGCAAAATGGCTCCATAGCGCCCCCTAAGGTGGAAATTCACACTATTGACTGTCACGCCTGTACGCTTTGTCATATTGACACAAAAATTGACACACATATGTATCTCAATAAGATCTACAAAAAAGTCAGTGCGGCCGTATCTGTCAAAATTACGGTTAAAGGGTTATTTCGCATTTTTTGCCGATCCGCACACATTGGAATTTCGCTAACTCCTCCGAAGGCTTTCGTTCCACCGGCACCACATTTGCTCAGGCCAATCTACACCCCGTGGCCATTAAAAGTTATCAAAATCATGACGCTGCACCCCAAGGTTTAGATTCTAGGGGGCGCCAAAGATAACACTAAAATCCACATATTTAAAAGTCTTATAACTTTTTATTTTTGTCCTCACTGGCCTCCAAGTTTTCTAGGATGATGCAATGTCCAGCCATCAACACATTTGTGAAGGAATTTTTACTCCCCAAAAGAGCGCCCCCCATGGCAGGAGAAAAAAGTCCATTTTTTCTTGTCCCCTAAGGTGAAAATACACATTGTTGAGTGTCAAGCCTATACGCTTTGTCAAAATGACACAAAAATTGACACACACATGTAACTCAATAAGATCTACAAAAAAGTCCATGCGCGCGTATCTGTCAAATGTACAGTTAAAGGGTTATTCCGCATTTTTTGCCGATACGCACACATTGGAATTTCGCTAACTCCTCCGAAGGCTTTCGTTCCACCGGCACCACATTTGCTCAGGCCAATCTACACCCCATGGCCATTAAAAGTTATTCAAATCATGATGCTGCACCCCATGGTTTAGGTTCTAGGGGGCGCCAAAAATAACCCAAAAATCCACATTCTTAAATGTTTTATAACTTTTTATTTTTGTCCTCACTGGCCTCCAAGTTTTCTAGGATGATGCAATGTCCAGCCATCAACACATTTGTGAAGGAATTTTTACTCCCCAAAAGAGCGCCCCCCCATGGTAGGAGAAAAAAGTCAATTTTTTCTTGTCCCCTTACATAAAAATACACATTGTTGAGTGTCACGCCTGAACGCTTTGTCATATTGACACAAAAATTGACAATCATGTGTATCTCAATTAGATCTACGAAAAAGTCAAAGAGCGCGTATCTGTATAATGTACGGTTAAAGGGCTATTTTGCATTTTTTGCCGATTCGCACACATTGGAATGTGGCTATCTCCTCCTAAGGCTTTCGTCCCACCGATACCAAATTTGCTCAGGGCAATCTACACCCCATGCCCATTCAAAGTTGTAAAAATCATGACGCTGCACCCCACGGTTTACGTTCTAGGGGGCGCCAAAGATGACCCAAAAATCCACATTCTTAAAAGTCATTTTGGCCACTGCAGGAGTACAGAGTACTGCAGTTCTAGGGGGCGCCAAAGATGACCCAAAAATCCACATTCTTAAAAGTCTTTTTGGCCACTGCAGGAGTACAGAGTACTGCAGGATACACACACATATACACACACGCCAACATACACACACACACACACACACACACACACACACACACACACACAGACACACACCCACACTCAGAGTCTGGTTTTTAGCACCTGCAAAAACATGCTGTTTACATATTTGACAAGAATGCAGAGGCTCCTTTTGCCCCTGAAAAAAATCAAATTTCAAACACAACTTGACTGTTCATTTCTCCAAAAGACAACCATGAAGCTCCATTTTAAACCTGAAGCAGATAGTTGGTGCATGTGTACAGTAACCTGAGGGGAGTGAGGTGACTATTTCTGAGGAGAACATGAGCAGTGAAGATTCACCTTGGAGCTAGAACAGGGACGTGCACATGATTATACAGGGGCAGGGGCTCAAGTTTTTTCCAGTCATTTATACAATATGGAAATTAATGTGAAATTAAACCACAAATATGTGTGATGAACTGTTTTTAAAACTTAAACTTCAAATAAAAATTGTAAACTTCAAAACATATGCAAATTTTTAACAAAGAACATAGTAATTTACCTCTATTTACATCAAAATGCAGGCAATGGCCCAGGCGTTCTTTGTAAAATTATTTACAAAACACTGTATAGTCTCACAAATGTCACTTTTTATTTATGCCACTACAAAAAAACATGATGTAAATGATGCATGATGTAAAACATGATGTAAAAAACTTGTGTAGATCCTCCTCTATGTCAGTCCATGTGTAATTTTTCCATAATTCTTTGTTTTTTGCAGCATTTTTGTTAGTGTAACTGCAGATTGTGCTGACAGTGTCTATGGCACAAAAAAAAAAAAATTTTTAATGCCTCAACATGAACCCGTGGTGGTCTCTGAGGGTGAAACCTGCTAACTGCTGCAGCTCTGTCAGCTTCAGTCTCCCATGCAGAGCTCTGAGCGCATGTGTGGCTCTGCACCCTTAGCAGCGTTGCTAACTCCTCAGTATGGAAAGCCTGCTTCATGTCAGAGTCTCTAAACTCCAGAAGAAGTCGATAAAAGTCCCTTTCTTTCTAAAAAAAAGTCGTTAGGGGGTCTGAAAAGTCATTGAATCTAACAACAAAGTCGCTAGGTTTGCAACTACGTGTCCCAGACTGCATCCCTGCTGAGAGTCCCTCCCTCCCTTCTCATGTTGCAGGAAGAACGTAAGCGCCCCCCTTGTCAATCAGTCACCATATAATTTTGGATTGGTTGTTGTGGTGAAGTTTTCCACCAATAGGAGAGATGTTGTGGTGTGTTTTTTTTTTCTTTTGGCAAGCCTTTTCCGCCTGTAAGAACTGTCGCTAATGTCTGCATGCTATGTTTTCCTGTCTCATACAGCGCGATCGAGCGCCGAACGTGATCAAAATAAGCAGAAAAAAAATATCGCGGACATAATTTATCATAACTCTGGTTTTATTTGGCCTATCAACACAATTTAAAAACTGGTATATAGGTTGAGGTCCTCACTTTTGAGATAAGTTGAAACGGAGAGTCAACGAGGCTCCGTCTTGCAGCTACATCCGGTTAAATATGTCATGTGACTTGAACGCACACACAGACACACACACACGCACACGCACGCACACACACACACACACACACACACACACACACACACACACACACACACACTCAGAGTCTGGTTTTTAGCACCTGCAAAAACATGCTATTTACATATTTGACAAGAATGCAGAGGCTCCTTTTGCCCCTGAAAAAAATCAAATTTCAAACACAACTTGACTGGTCATTTCTCCAAAAGACAACCATGAAGCTCCATCCAAACCTGAAGCAGGCAGTTGGTGCATGTGTACAGTAACCTGAGGGGAGTGAGGTGAGTGCTTCTGAGGAGAACATGAGCAGTGAAGATTCACCTTGGAGCTAGAACAGAGACATGCACATGATTATACAGGGGCAGGGGCTCAAGTTTTTTCCAGTCGTTTATACAATATGGAAATTAATGTGAAATTAAAACACAAAGTATTAATAGAAAGGTAATGACTGTCCTGTGTAGGTGACAGTGATATCCAATAGGCTAGGCACTCACGAGGCTGGCTGTGGCAAGTGTAAGTGAAAGCAACACGCACTGGCAGGAAGAACAGCAAACGCCGATGAAGGAAAAGGGTCTTTGCAGTGATGGGCGTTACCAGAGAGGGCGATGGCCAGAGGACACAAATGGGACGGGGAGGCAGCACGTTGGGGGGGGGGGGGGGGGGGGACGCGACACGGCTCGGGCCCGCCAGTGCCCCAACGGGGTCCTAGTTATTAGGGCCCGAGCGTAGCTGCTAAGCAGCTGCGAGAGCCCTATTATTCCCCAAGTGGTTTTTCTTTGTTTCTTTTTTCTTTTTCCTCCCCTTTGAACTGGAAAATGGCCCACTTCCCACTGGCGAAAACTCAGGAAATTTGGCAGGACGACCGGGCCTGGTGAAAAATTTGATATTCCGAAGTCGCCCAAACAAGAAAATGCAAAATGGCTCCATAGCGCCCCCTAAGGTGAAAATTCACACTATTGACTGTCACGCCTGTACGCTTTGTCAAAATGACACAAAAATTGACACACACATGTATCTCAATAAGATCTACAAAAAAGTCAGTGCGGGCGTATCTGTCAAATGTACGGTTAAAGGGTTATTTTGCATTTTTTGCCGATCCGCACACATTGGAATTTCGCTAACTCCTCCGAAGGCTTTCGTTCCACCGGCACCACATTTGCTCAGGCCAATCTACACCCCATGGCCATTAAAAGTTATTCAAATCATGACGCTGCACCCCACGGTTTAGGTTCTAGGGGGCGCCAAAGATAACCCTAAAATCCACATTTTTAAAAGTCTTATAACTTTTTATTTTTGCCCTCACTGGCCTCCAAGTTTTCTAGGATGATGCAATGTCCAGCCATCAACACATTTGTGAAGGAATTTTTACTCCCCAAAAGAGCGCCCCCCCATGGCAGGAGAAAAAAGTCCATTTTTTCTTGTCCCCTAAGGTGAAAATACACATTGTTGAGTGTCACGCCTGTACGCTTTGTCAAAATGACACAAAAATTGACACACACATGTATCTCAATAAGATCTACAAAAAAGTCAATGCGCGCGTATCTGTCTAATGTACGGTTAAAGGGTTATTCCGCATTTTTTGCCGATTCGCACACATTGGAATTTCGCTAACTCCTCCGAAGGCTTTCGTTCCACCGGCACCACATTTGCTCAGGCCAAATTACACCCCATGGCCATTAAAAGTTATTCAAATCATGACGCTGCATCCCACGGTTTACGTTCTAGGGGGCGCCAAAGATAACCCAAAAATCCACATTTTTAAAAGTCTTATAACTTTTTATTTTTGTCCTCACTGGCCTCCAAGTTTTCTAGGATGATGCAATGTCCAGCCATCAACACATTTGTGAAGGAATTTTTACTCCCTAAAAGAGCGCCCCCCCATGGCAGGAGAAAAAAGTCCATTTTTTCTTGTCCCCTAAGGTGAAAATACACATTGTTGACTGTCACGCCTGTACGCTTTGGCAAAATGACACAAAAATTGACAATCATGTGTATCTCAATTAGATCTACGAAAAAGTCAAAGAGCGCGTATCTGTATAATGTACGGTAAAAGGGCTATTTTGCATTTTTTGCCGATTCGCACACATTGGAATTTCGCTAACTCCTCCTAAGGCTTTCGTCCCACTGACACCAAATTTGCTCAGGCCAATCTACACTCCATGGCCATTCAAAGTTGTAAAAATCATGACGCTGCACCCCACGGTTTACGTTTTAGGGGGCGCCAAAGATGACCCAAATATACATTACAGTAGACAAAGTAGTTTTGCCCACTGAGTGGCGCCAAAGGGACTTGTCTGTGGAGTCTGTGAGTCACTATTGGCCGTTTTTGACTACTTTAGATTTTACCTTTATATTTCCTCTTACAAAATTTTTACCTTGCCTTGCCTGGTATCATTTTTTTCAGCACAACCTCACCTGTGTCAATTTACAGTTATTTTATCATTTTGACATACTATATTTACACATTGGACCCAAATTCACACACAAAACATAAAATCCGAGTGGAAAAAAGTAACGTTTTTACTGTGAAAACCACAAATATGTGTGATGAACTGTTTTTAAAACTTAAACTTCAAATAAAAATTGTAAACTTCAAAACATATGCAAATTTTTAACAAAGAACATAGTAATTTACCTCTATTGACATCAAAATGCAGGCAATGGCCCAGGCGTTCTTTGTAAAATTATTTACAAAACACTGTATAGTCTCACAAATGTCACTTTTTATTTATGCCACTACAAAAAAACATGATGTAAATGATGCATGATGTAAAACATGATGTAAAAAACTTGTGTAGATCCTCCTCTATGTTAGTCCATGTGTAATTTTTCCATAATTCTTTGTTTTTTGCAGCATTTTTGTTAGTGTAACTGCAGATTGTGCTGACAGTGTCTGTGGCAAAAAAAAAAAAAAAAAACTGAAAATGCCTCAACATGAACCCCTGGTGGTCTCTGAGGGTGAAACCTGCTAACTGCTGCAGCTCTGTCAGCTTCAGTCTCCCATGCAGAGCTCGGAGCGCATGTGTGGCTCTGCACCCTTAGCAGCGTTGCTAACTCCTCAGTAAGGAAAGCCTGCTTCATGTCAGAGTCTCTAAACTCCAGAAGTCGATAAAAGTCACTTTCTTTCTAAAAAAAAAGTCGTTAGGGGGTCTGAAAAGTCATTGAATCTAACAACAAAGTCGCTAGGTTTGCAACTACGTGTCCCAGACTGCATCCCTGCTGAGAGTCCCTCCCTCCCTTCTCATATTGCAGGAAGAACGTAAGCGCCCGCCCCTTGTCAATCAGTCACCATATAATTTTGGATTGGTTGTTGTGGTGAAGTTTTCCACCAATAGGAGAGATGTTGTGGTGTGTTTTTTTCTTTTCCTTTGGCAAGCCTTTTCCGCCTGTAAGACCTGTCGCTAATGTCTGCATGCTATGTTTTCCTGTCTCATACAGCGCGATCGAGCGCCGAACGTGATCAAAATAAGCAGAAAACAAGTATCGCGGACATAATTTATCATAACTCTGGTTTTATTTGGCCTATCAACACAATTTAAAAACTGGTATATAGGTTGAGGTCCTCACTTTTGAGATAAGTTGAAACGGAGAGTCAACGAGGCTCCGTCTTGCAGCTACATCCGGTTAAATATGTCATGTGACTTGAACGCACACACACACACACACACACACACACACACACAGACACACACACACACGCACACACACACCGTCTTGCAGCTACATCCGGTTAAATATGTCATGTGACTTGAACGCACACACACACACACACACACACACACACACACAGACACACACACACACGCACACTCAGAGTCTGGTTTTTAGCACCTGCAAAAACATGCTATTTACATATTTGACAAGAATGCAGAGGCTTCCTTTTGCCCCTGAAAAAAAATCAAATTTCAAACACAACTTGACTGCTCATTTCTCCAAAAGACAACCATGAAGCTCCATCCAAACCTGAAGCAGGCAGTTGGTGCATGTGTACAGTAACCTGAGGGGAGTGAGGTGACTGCTTCTGAGGAGAACATGAGCAGTGAAGATTCACCTTGGAGCTAGAACAGGGACGTGTACATGATTATACAGGGGCAGGGGCTCAAGTTTTTTCCAGTCGTTTATACAATATGGAAATTAATGTGAAATTAAAAAACAAAGTATTAATAGAAAGGTAATGACTGTCCTGTGTAGGTGACAGTGATATCCAATAGGCTAGGCACTCACGAGGCTGGCTGTGGCAAGTGTAAGTGAAAGCAACACGCACTGGCAGGAAGAACAGCAAACGCCGATGAAGGAAAAGGGTCTTTGTAGTGATGGGCGTTACCAGAGAGGGCGATGGCCAGAGGACGCGAATGGGACGGGGAGGCAGCGCGTTGGGGGGGGGGGCGCGACACGGCTCGGGCCCGCCAGTGCCCCAACGGGGCCCTAGTTATTTTTCCTCCCCTTTGAACTGGAAAATGGCCCACTTCCCACTGGCGAAAACTCATGAAATTTGGCAGGACGACCGGGCCTGGTGAAAAATTTGATATTCCGAAGTCGCCCAAACAAGAAAATGCAAAATGGCTCCATAGCGCCCCCTAAGGTGAAAATTCACACTATTGACTGTCACGCCTGTACGCTTTGTCAAAATGACACAAAAATTGACACACACATGTATCTCAATAAGATCTACAAAAAAGTCAGTGCGGGCGTATCTGTCAAATGTACGGTTAAAGGGTTATTTCGCATTTTTTGCCGATCCGCACACATTGGAATTTCGCTAACTCCTCCGAAGGCTTTCGTTCCACCGGCACCACATTTGCTCAGGCCAATCTACACCCCATGGCCATTAAAAGTTATTCAAATCATGACGCTGCACCCCACGGTTTAGGTTCTAGGGGGCGCCAAAGATAACCCTAAGATCCACATATTTAAAAGTCTTATAACTTTTTATTTTTGCCCTCACTGGCCTCCAAGTTTTCTAGGATGATGCAATGTCCAGCCATCAACACATTTGTGAAGGAATTTTTACTCCCCAAAAGAGCGCCCCCCCATGGCAGGAGAAAAAAGTCCATTTTTTCTTGTCCCCTAAGGTGAAAATACACATTGTTGAGTGTAACACCTGTACGCTTTGGCAAAATGACACAAAAATTGACACACACATGTATCTCAATAAGATCTACGAAAAAGTCAACGCGCGCGTATCTGTCAAATGTACGGTTAAAGGGTTATTCCGCATTTTTTGCCGATCCGCACACATTGGAATTTCGCTAACTCCTCCGAAGGCTTTCGTTCCACCGGCACCACATTTGCTCAGGCCAATCTACACCCCATGGCCATTAAAAGTTATTCAAATCATGACGCTGCACCCCACGGTTTAGGTTCTAGGGGGAGCCAAAGATAACCGTAAAATCCACATATTTAAAAGTCTTATAACTTTTTATTTTTGTCCCCACTGGCCTCCAAGTTTTCTAGGATGATGCAATGTCCAGCCATCAACACATTTGTGAAGGAATTTTTACTCGGCAAAAGAGCGCCCCCCCATGGCAGGAGAAAAAAGTCAATTTTTTCTTGTCCACTAAGGTGAAAATACACATTGTTGAGTGCTACGCCTGTATGTTTTGTCGTATTGACACAAAATTTTACATACACGTGTATTTCAATAAGATCTTCGAAAAAGTCAATGGCCACGTATCTGTAAAATGTACGGTTGAAGGGTTATTTCGCATTTTTTGCAGATTCGCACACATTGGAATTTCGCTAATTCCTCCGAAGGCTTTCGTTCCACCGGCACCACATTTGCTCAGGCCAATCTACACCCCATGGCCATTAAAAGTTATTCAAATCATGACGCTGCACCCCACGGTTTAGGTTCTAGGGGGCGCCAAAGATAACCCTAAAATCCACATATTTAAAAGTCTTATAACTTTTTATTTTTGTCCTCACTGGCCTCCATGTTTTCTAGGATGATGCAATGTCCAGCCATCAACACATTTGTGAAGGAGTTTTTTCTCTTTAAAAGAGCGCCCCCCCATGGCAGGAGAATAAAGTCAAGTTTTTCCTGTTCATCATTCAATGGCTCAAACGCACTGCTCTCTCGGCAAAAGCGAAAGGAGGAGCAACTTGCCATTTGGATATATCTTAGCTGTGTTTGTGCCCTCACTCATGGTCCAGACTTTTTTCAAATAGGACATGGAGTTTTTCTGCAGCGAGCGTTTTGGTAGAAACTGCGCCTCCCGTTCATTACAATGGTAAATGACCACAAACAAGTGCACACACCATCTTTGGACCTTGAGTGTGACGCGATCGGGTGGGGGAGGCGGTCGCGCTGGGGGCGGCGTGACACGGCTCGGGCCCGCCAGTGCCCCAACGGGGCCCTAGTTATTATTATTTTTCCTCCCCTTTGAACTGGAAAATGGCCCACTTCCCACTGGCGAAAACTCATGAAATTTGGCAGGACGACCGGGCCTGGTGAAAAATTTGATATTCCGAAGTCGCCCAAACAAGAAAATGCAAAATGGCTCCATAGCGCCCCCTAAGGTGAAAATTCACACTATTGACTGTCACGCCTGTACGCTTTGTCAAAATGACACAAAAATTGACACACACATGTATCTCAATAAGATCTACAAAAAAGTCAGTGCGGGCGTATCTGTCAAATGTACGGTTAAAGGGTTATTTCGCATTTTTTGCCGATCCGCACACATTGGAATTTCGCTAACTCCTCCGAAGGCTTTCGTTCCACCGGCACCACATTTGCTCAGGCCAATCTACACCCCATGGCCATTAAAAGTTATTCAAATCATGACGCTGCACCCCACGGTTTAGGTTCTAGGGGGCGCCAAAGATAACCCTAAGATCCACATATTTAAAAGTCTTATAACTTTTTATTTTTGCCCTCACTGGCCTCCAAGTTTTCTAGGATGATGCAATGTCCAGCCATCAACACATTTGTGAAGGAATTTTTACTCCCCAAAAGAGCGCCCCCCATGGCAGGAGAAAAAAGTCCATTTTTTCTTGTCCCCTAAGGTGAAAATACACATTGTTGAGTGTAACACCTGTACGCTTTGGCAAAATGACACAAAAATTGACACACACATGTATCTCAATAAGATCTACGAAAAAGTCAACGCGCGCGTATCTGTCAAATGTACGGTTAAAGGGTTATTCCGCATTTTTTGCCGATCCGCACACATTGGAATTTCGCTAACTCCTCCGAAGGCTTTCGTTCCACCGGCACCACATTTGCTCAGGCCAATCTACACCCCATGGCCATTAAAAGTTATTCAAATCATGACGCTGCACCCCACGGTTTAGGTTCTAGGGGGAGCCAAAGATAACCGTAAAATCCACATATTTAAAAGTCTTATAACTTTTTATTTTTGTCCCCACTGGCCTCCAAGTTTTCTAGGATGATGCAATGTCCAGCCATCAACACATTTGTGAAGGAATTTTTACTCGGCAAAAGAGCGCCCCCCATGGCAGGAGAAAAAAGTCAATTTTTTCTTGTCCACTAAGGTGAAAATACACATTGTTGAGTGCTACGCCTGTATGTTTTGTCGTATTGACACAAAATTTTACATACACGTGTATTTCAATAAGATCTTCGAAAAAGTCAATGGCCACGTATCTGTAAAATGTACGGTTGAAGGGTTATTTCGCATTTTTTGCAGATTCGCACACATTGGAATTTCGCTAATTCCTCCGAAGGCTTTCGTTCCACCGGCACCACATTTGCTCAGGCCAATCTACACCCCATGGCCATTAAAAGTTATTCAAATCATGACGCTGCACCCCACGGTTTAGGTTCTAGGGGGCGCCAAAGATAACCCTAAAATCCACATATTTAAAAGTCTTATAACTTTTTATTTTTGTCCTCACTGGCCTCCATGTTTTCTAGGATGATGCAATGTCCAGCCATCAACACATTTGTGAAGGAGTTTTTTCTCTTTAAAAGAGCGCCCCCCATGGCAGGAGAATAAAGTCAAGTTTTTCCTGTTCATCATTCAATGGCTCAAACGCACTGCTCTCTCGGCAAAAGCGAAAGGAGGAGCAACTTGCCATTTGGATATATCTTAGCTGTGTTTGTGCCCTCACTCATGGTCCAGACTTTTTTCAAATAGGACATGGAGTTTTTCTGCAGCGAGCGTTTTGGTAGAAACTGCGCCTCCCGTTCATTACAATGGTAAATGACCACAAACAAGTGCACACACCATCTTTGGACCTTGAGTGTGACGCGATCGGGTGGGGGAGGCGGTCGCGCTGGGGGCGGCGTGACACGGCTCGGGCCCGCCAGTGCCCCAACGGGGCCCTAGTTTGTTATTATTAGGGCCCGAGCGTAGCTGCTAAGCAGCTGCGAGAGCCCTATTATTCCCCAAGTGGTTTTTCTTTGTTTCTTTTTTCTTTTTCCTCCCCTTTGAACTGGAAAATGGCCCACTTCCCACAGGCGAAAACTCATGAAATTTGGCAGGACGACCGGGCCTGGTGAAAAATTTGATATTCTGAAGTTGCCCAAACAATACAATGCAAAATGGCTCCATAGCGCCCCCTAGGGTGAAAAATTCACCTGACGCCTGTACGCTTTGTCAAAATGACACAAAAATTGACACACACATGTATCTCAATAAGATCTACAAAAAAGTCAGTGCGGGCGTATCTGTCAAATGTACGGTTAAAGGGTTATTGCGCATTTTTTGCCGATCCGCACACATTGGAATTTCGCTAACTCCTCCGAAGGCTTTCGTTCCACCGGCACCACATTTGCTCAGGCCAATCTACACCCCATGGCCATTAAAAGTTATTCAAATCATGACGCTGCACCCCACGGTTTAGGTTCTAGGGGGCGCCAAAGATAACCCTAAAATCCACATATTTCAAAGTCTTATAACTTTTTATTTTTGCCCTCACTGGCCTCCAAGTTTTCTAGGATGATGCAATGTCCAGCCATCAACACATTTGTGAAGGAATTTTTACTCCCCAAAAGAGCGCCCCCCCATGGCAGGAGAAAAAAGTCCATTTTTTCTTGTCCCATAAGGTGAAAATTCACACTATTGACTGTCACGCCTGTACGCTTTGTCAAAATTACACAAAAATTGACACACACATGTATCTCAATAAGATCTACAAAAAAGTCAATGCGCGCGTATCTGTCAAATGTACGGTTAAAGGGTTATTCCGCATTTTTTGCCGATCCGCACACATTGGAATTTCGCTAACTCCTCCGAAGGCTTTCGTTCCACCGGCACCACATTTGCTCAGGCCAATCTACACCCCATGGCCATTAAAAGTTATTCAAATCATGATGCTGCACCCCACGGTTTAGGTTCTAGGGGGCGCCAAAGATAACCCTAAAATCCACATATTTAAAAGTCTTATAACTTTTTATTTTTGTCCTCTCTGGCCTCCAAGTTTTCTAGGATGATGCAATGTCCAGCCATCAACACATTTGTGAAGGAATTTTTACTCCCCAAAAGAGCGCCCCCCCATGGCAGGAGAAAAAAGTCAATTTTTTCTTGTCCCCTTACATGAAAATACACATTGTTGAGTGTCACGCCTGAACGCTTTGTCATATTGACACAAAAATTGACAATCATGTGTATCTCAACTAGATCTACGAAAAAGTCAATGCGCGCGTATCTGTATAATGTACGGTTAAAGGGCTATTTCGCATTTTTTGCCGATTCGCACACATTGGAATGTGGCTATCTCCTCCTAAGGCTTTCGTCCCACCGATACCAAATTTGCTCAGGGCAATCTACACCCCATGCCCATTCAAAGTTGTAAAAATCATGACGCTGCACCCCACGGTTTACGTTCTAGGGGGCGCCAAAGATGACCCAAAAATCCACATTCTTAAAAGTCATTTTGGCCACTGCAGGAGTACAGAGTACTGCAGTTCTAGGGGGCGCCAAAGATGACCCAAAAATCCACATTCTTAAAAGTCTTTTTGGCCACTGCAGGAGTACAGAGTACTGCAGGATACACACACATATACACACACACACACACACACACACACACACACACACACACACACACACACACACACTCAGAGTCTGTTTTTTAGCACCTGCAAAAACATGCTGTTTACATATTTGACAAGAATGCAGAGGCTTCCTTTTGCCCCTGAAAAAAATCAGATTTCAAACACAACTTGACTGTTCATTTCTCCAAAAGACAACCATGAAGCTCCATCCAAACCTGAAGCAGATAGTTGGTGCATGTGTACAGTAACCTGAGGGGAGTGAGGTGACTATTTCTGAGGAGAACATGAGCAGTGAAGATTCACCTTGGAGCTAGAACAGGGACGTGCACATGATTATACAGGGGCAGGGGCTCAAGTTTTTTCCAGTCATTTATACAATATGGAAATTAATGTGAAATTAAACCACAAATATGTGTGATGAACTGTTTTTAAAACTTAAACTTCAAATAAAAATTGTAAACTTCAAAACATATGCAAATTTTTAACAAAGAACATAGTAATTTACCTCTATTTACATCAAAATGCAGGCAATGGCCCAGGCGTTCTTTGTAAAATTATTTACAAAACACTGTATAGTCTCACAAATGTCACTTTTTATTTATGCCACTACAAAAAAACATGATGTAAATGATGCATGATGTAAAACATGATGTAAAAAACTTGTGTAGATCCTCCTCTATGTCAGTCCATGTGTAATTTTTCCATAATTCTTTGTTTTTTGCAGCATTTTTGTTAGTGTAACTGCAGATTGTGCTGACAGTCTATGGCAAAAAAAACAAAAACTGAAAATGCCTCAACATGAACCCCTGGTGGTCTCTGAGGGTGAAACCTGCTAACTGCTGCAGCTCTGTCAGCTTCAGTCTCCCATGCAGAGCTCGGAGCGCATGTGTGGCTCTGCACCCTTAGCAGCGTTGCTAACTCCTCAGTAAGGAAAGCCTGCTTCATGTCAGAGTCTCTAAACTCCAGAAGAAGTCGATAAAAGTCCCTTTCTTTCTAACAAAAGTTGTTAGGGGGTCTGAAAAGTAATTGAATCTAACAACAAAGTCGCTAGGTTTGCAACTACGTGTCCCAGACTGCATCCCTGCTGAGAGTCCCTCCCTCCCTTCTCATGTTGCAGGAAGAACGTAAGCGCCCGCCCCTTGTCAATCAGTCACCATATAATTTTGGATTGGTTGTTGTGGTGAAGTTTTCCACCAATAGGAGAGATGTTGTGGTGTGTTTTTTTTTTCTTTTGGCAAGCCTTTTCCGCCTGTAAGACCTGTCGCTAATGTCTGCATGCTATGTTTTCCTGTCTCATACAGCGCGATCGAGCGCCGAACGTGATCAAAATAAGCAGAAAAAAAGTATCGCGGACATAATTTATCATAACTCTGGTTTTATTTGGCCTATCAACACAATTTAAAAAATGGTATATAGGTTGAGGTCCTCACTTTTGAGATAAGTTGAAACGGAGAGTCAACGAGGCTCCGTCTTGCAGCTACATCCGGTTAAATATGTCATG